CTGGGGTTCTAAGTGGGTCCCCACACTGCCCCTACCATGTGGGTTTTGGAAAGCTGTCACTCCAGAAATGAGGCCTCTAGGGGAGCTGAGAACTTCGGCAAACGTTGAGTCTAGTCAGCCCAGGAGACAGGCTGAAGCAGCCACAGCCTGAAGGTGCTTGATGGGCTGGGGGTACCCGGGGGAAGCGTTCATCCCACTGGGAGAGAATAAGACCACCGCCACAACTTCTGAGCCAAATCTGAAGCAAGCTTTATTAAATACTGGCCAGGACAATGGACACCGGCCAGATCCATACCCATGATTCCCAGAGTATGGTTCTGAATTACATCAGTCAGAGGCTTATAAAGGCAAAACCCACAAGGCTACGTACTTCCACCTTCATCCAATCAGGGCCAAGCGTAGATCCTGACATACTTCCTGCCTATGTACCTCCCACCTATGTGTGATCAAGCACTTCCTGTGCAGTTGGGGCAGCCAAGCTTGTTTACAGAAGCTACACGTGGCTTGTTATCTTACATGAACAACAGTCTCCAGCATTCCAGGAAGTTATCTGTCCTTGGGCAAGCAGGGCTTACAGGTTAGAGGCATTTTTTGGTTTATAGATCTCTTAAGCACAGTAATTTAAACTTAAAACACAACTTGAGCCATCACAGAAGTCTAAGAAGGCTAAAAAAAAAACAGACTTTCCCCTTTTCATTTACATAGACGTGTGTGTGTGTGTGTGTGTGTGTGTGTGTGTGTGTGTGTGTGACTCTTTCCACGACATCTGTGTGGAGGTCAAAAGACAAACTATTGGAATGAGTTCTCTCTTCCCACCACGCGGAAAATCCTGGGTAGTCTGCAATCCTAGCTCTTGGGAGGCCAGTCTGCTCTATTAGAGTTCAAGGTCAACCAGGGTTACATGACAAAGACCCTGTCTCAAAAAGCCACAAAAACAAACAGTAATTAGTAATTAGTACATCTCAATACAGCCACATATGTGTGAGGGGTTATCACGAAAGCCACTCTGTATCTGAAGGCTATAGAAGAAGCTGAAATAATCTTCAAGAAAACAAAACAAAACAAAAAAGCAAAGCACCCAGAAGATAATATCTGCAACAACATGGGTAGGAGATTTGAAACTGTAATAGGGTAAATAAAATAAATAAATAAAAATGAGAAGGGCCAGCAAGGTGGCTCAGAAAAGATAAGTGCTTGATACCAAGCCTGACAACCTGAGTTCTACCCAGGATTCCATGTGGTGGGAAGAAAGAACCCACTCCAACAGTTTGTCTTCTGACCTCCACACAGATGTCATGGCAAGAATCACACACACACACACACACACACACACACACACACACACACACACACACACACACACACACACACACACACACACACACACACTCACACACTCACACACTCACACACTCACACACACACCATTCTACGTAAAAGAAAAGGGGAAAGCCATCTCCCGGGGATTGCACTTCACTACACTGCCAGAAGAGGGCGACCTTGAGCTGGGAATGGTGTGCTATCCCCGATCCATGAAGGTGTGTCAGTGAAATGAAACAGTGTGGAGCTAGACAAAGTTGTGCGGGGGAGGGAGAACGGGAGAGGAAAAGGGGCTCAGCTGCTGAAATGCTCCCCAAACACGAGTGCATTCCCTAACGTGTCCCCCTGGAGCGTTTAAACCTGTCATCTACAGCAGAGACTCACTGTGTTCAAGCCCTGGAAGACGCAGTACTGTTGAGATGGCCGTTCCCCTAAACTACCAACTTGACTCATTCATTTCCTTTCAAAAGTCAGTAAGACAATAAAGCATAATGAAAAACAGCCTCACAAACATTCCTCCGCAACAGAAATGCCAGGTACAGACAAGCACATACCTCATGATCTCCCTTGTGTGAAGTTCTGCAAAGGCAAATCTAATCTGTCACAACCAGAAACTTGATCACTTGGGTGGGGGTGATGACAAAAGAGGCATGAATTTTTTAGATGAAGAAATATTTTTGTTCTAGTGATGGTAACAGCATGATATACATTCGTTAAAGCTTATTGAACTGTCCAGGCAAAACTGGTTCATTTTATATGTGTCAGTTAAATTTTAATAGCTTGTTTGTTTGTTTGTTTGTTTGTTTGGAGACAGGATTTCTCTGTGTAACAGTCCTGGCTGTTCTGGAACTCACTCTGTAGGCCAGGCTAGCCTCAAACTCACAGAGATCTGCCTGCCTCTGCCTCCCGAGTGCTGGGATTAAAGGCGTGTGCTACCACCACCTGACTTAATAGCCGATTTTTAAAGGCAT